ATGTTCATTACTGCCCGCCTTGGCCCTTGATCTATTTCTTAGATTTTTAAAAATAATATAAGGATTTGAAAGTACCAATTAGTCATAGCACTAAGAGTTAAATGGGGAGGGTGAAGAAACCTACATCTCCCAGACTCCACAAGTGTCAAACTCTGTGCTAAGTATATTAACATCATTTCATAATTTAATACTTATAAATCTATGAAACATGTATTATGCCCTTATTACTGATAAAGAAGTTGAGGCTCAGAAAATTCAAGAAATTCACCAAAGATAACTCAGTAAATGACAATGCCTGGAATTGAATTTAAATCTATGTTTCAAGTCCATACTTCTTTCATTATGCTGGTGTGTCGTTAGCTCTTTGCCACTTTCCAGCCCATTCTCTTTTCTACATGTAGGAAATACATTTTTTTGAGTGTCAAGAAAGGCTTTAGTAGGATCATCCCAGTGGCGCAGCAGTTAAGTTCGCACTTTCCACTTCAGTGGCCCAGGATTCGAGGGTTCAGATTCCAGGTGTGGACCTATGCACTGCTTTTTAAGCCATGCTGTGGCAAGCGTCTCACATATAAAATAGAGGAAGATGTTATCTCAGGGCCAATCTTCTTCAGCAAAAGGAGGATAGGCAGCAGACGTTAGCTCAGGGTTAATCTTCCTTAAAAACAAACATAGACAAACAAACAAAGCAAGCATTTAGCTACAAATGAGTTAATAGCTTCTTTCTACCTTGACCTAGTCAGACAAAACTAAAATAGTGTCTTCACCTATGGGAGTCCTGCTAATAGTCTTTTATTAACTGAAACATTTCAGACATGTGCTTGTTGTTATTATAACCTTATTTTTAAAAATATTTTTAAATGATTAAAGATAATTGTGTGCTTATGAGCCACTTGAGAATACAGATGCTTTTGTTTTCTCAAAATGACATATACAAATATAACAAAGATTACATGATTCAAAACAGGCTAATCGCATATGTAGCTTTTAACCAAAACCAATGTTTGTACCACCAGAAATTTGGAGGATGATTATGTAACCATTAGTGTTTATTACCATATCATTTATCAAGAATATAGAAAATATATATTAGAGAATATAGAAGGCTTGAGCAAAACACATTATAAGTTATTCTCCAATTCAGATTTTCTCTGAGTATTTAATGTTATAATATTCAGAGAAAAGATATCACATTAAAAACTAATAATAGAAAGTTAGAAGATAACGATCAAGGAATCTAGATGAGCACGTTGACAGCATCAGTGACATTAAGTGAGACAAACTTTAGTAAGAAAGAAAATACAGGAGTGAGGGAACAGCATGTCATAAATGCAACTTCCACATTTTATCAGGTTTCTATATTGTTTTTAGAACACTAAGGCCATTACTGTAGCATCAGGATAAACCAAAGGAAAGCCTGAAGATACACAGGGCTATACTTCCTTCAATGTCTATATATTTTTTTCACAGCTTGAAAATTCTTGTGGTGACTCATAAATGCTGCCTTTCCTATGATCCTCAATTTGAATATTATAACTCTAGAAGTATGATTCCCTCTAATGCTTTACTTCTCCTGATTGTTCCCTTATAAATTTTTGTGCTTAATTTATTTTCATTGTTATATTAGTCTTATTAAAAAAACACAGATCTTCAGAACGATAGAAGTGTGAAAGACACACATTTTTCTACAACAGTGTAGAATACTATTCTGTCTAACCCTACACTTAATTCAAATTCTGGCACTCAGGTCAACTTCAAAACCCAACTTATCACTAACAAGCTGTGTAACCTCTAGCAAGTTGCTTAACTTATATATGCCTCAATTTCCTTGTGTAAAATATGGAGCTACTTGTTTTACAATTCATGGTGGTATTTGAAGATCGAAATTAATATATTGTAATGTGTTAGCACAATCCATGCCACATGGTAAGTGTTATATAAATATACTACCACAACTACAATTTTTATTATCATTATTTCAGATTTTCTTCAACAACAATCATGTTGCTAGCTGAAGGAAATCAGAGTGCTGGAACCACATTCACGCTCTTGGGCTTCTCAGAATATCCAGGCCTCCAGGTACCCCTGTTCCTGGTATTCTTGACCGTCTACATGGTCACTGTGGTGGGGAACCTGGGCATGATCATGATCATCAGGATCAGTCCTAAACTCCACACCCCCATGTATTTTTTTCTCAGCCAATTGTCCTTTGTTGATTTTTGTTATTCCACTACAGTTACACCCAAACTGTTGGAGAACTTAGTTGTGGAAGACAGAACTATCTCTTTCATAGGATGCATCGCACAATTCTTCTTGGCTTGTATATTTGGGGTGGCAGAAACATGCATGTTGGCAGTGATGGCCTATGACCGCTTTGTGGCAGTTTGCAACCCTCTGCTCTACACAGTAGTAATGTTCCAAAAGTTCTGTGCATCATTGGTGGCTGGGCCCTACACATGGGGTATAGTCTCTTCGCTGACACTCACATATTCTCTCCTGGCATTATCCTTTTGTGGGTCTAACATAATAAATAATATTTTCTGTGACCACTCAGCCATTGTCTCTATCTCCTGTTCTGACCCTTACATCAGCCAAGTGCTTTGTTTTATCATCACCATATTCAATGAGGCGAGCAGCCTAGTAATCTTCCTCACTACTTATATATTCATTTTTGTTACTGTCATAAAAATACCTTCTGCTAGTGGATGCCAAAAAGGCCTCTCCACTTGTGCCTCCCACCTGACTGCAATTGCCATTTTCTATGGGACTATCCTGTTCCTTTATTGTGTACCCAATTCCAAAAACTCATGGCTTACAGTCAAATTAGGTTCTATGTTTTATACAGTCGTGACTTCCATGCTGAATCCTCTGATCTATAGCCTCAGGAACAAAGATGTGAAGGAGAGTGTCAAGAAATTAATGAATTACTCAATACAATTTTGTTGAAGATTTGTATTTCCAAAAGGAATTTGATTGAATATATTGAGATTGTTTAATGCTTCTAGTAGAGATGATGATTTAAATTATCTAGTCAACTTACCAGATTTTTAAATCTATTGTAATAAACTAGTTATTTGATCATTTGACTTCTATTCACTTCAATGTTTAGTAAAATATCTGTGAAGTAACATAAATGTTGTGGGTGGAAGTGTCCCCAAAATATCCGTGTCCACCAAGATGCTCAGAATGTGATGACATATAGTAATAGTGTCTCTGTAGATGTAATAAAGGTAAGGATCAAGGTGAGATCATTCTGGATTAGGATGGGCCCTGAATCTTATGAGTGAGTCTTTATAAGAGACAGTAAATGACACATGGAGACACATAGGGAAGAAGCCTTTGTGAAGATGGAGGCAGAGATTGATGTTTGCTGCTACCAACAAGGGGGCTCCAGGATCCAGCAGAATCTAGAGGACAGAAGAAAGGATTCTCCTCCAGCATTTTCAAAATGAGCATGGTCCTGCCAGCACATTCATTTCAGGCTTCTGCTCTTGAGAACCGTGAGGGAATAAATATCCATTGTTCAAGCCAACAAGTTTTTGCTAGTTTACTGCAGCAATGCTGGGGATTTTATTTAACAGTAAATATCAGACCATTAAATCTAAATCTGTTGAATCCTATATTGGTGTGGTAAATCATTTTTAAGCCATTCTTCCACTATGTTTAAGCAATGAGAATGTCAGAGTTACAGTGGAATTTTGAGACGCTGTAGCTAACTAGGAGTGTGAATATGGAAGAATTAGCAATGAGAATCTGGAGGCACTATCTCTAAGATCTGGCACAGTTATTTACTCCTTTTTCCCAAAGGGTGTCTTGTACTTGTATTATAGTACAGGAAGTGATGTTAAACATGATGCTTCCAAATATATAAAAATATTGTTTTTATACGAATTTCTGGAAGGATTACCAAGGGGACCAAAAATGAAAAGTTCATAGTTACTAAATTCAGATATCTCACAATCTGATGTGCCAAACTTGATTCTGTAAATTCTCTTTACTAACAATAAATATCATAATACATTTTAAAAGTAGTTTGTATAATCCTTGATTGCTTTAAAATGTTAATCTTTGGTTAATTACACATTTCACCTGCATGACATAGCTTCATCTGGCAGACAAATATGGCATGGTTTCAACTGTTTTGATGGAAAAATCCTCTATATTTATTATTCCTTTGTTAATATTAACCCGGTGACTGACTCTGTTAGAAAAAATCAAAATGTTATCTTTATTTATCTCTTGCTAATCATGGTTTGTATCACACAAGGTTCCCCGGAATACGCACTGTGCAGATCGCCAATGCTGTTGCTCTGTCACTTTAGTGATTAAATAGTATTTGCATCTTAAGAGCAAGTGTGTTCATCTCAAATAAAACTTTCTAACTTCATCTTGTACTATAAGGGTATACCACAAAACCTTGTCTTATACGTGAGAATAAATAGGCAATTTTAAAATATAAAAAAAACAGATACTTTACTTTTAATTTTCCTTAGCTATAAAACAGAGATTCCACGTAATTTTATCATAATATTCTGACCAATTGCCAATACACTGTAAGGCACATTTTCCATATAATCCTGCTCAAGGTTTGTTCACACTGGGAAATGAAATAGAAACCTTTTCATTTCAATTCCACCAGGGAGGCTTAAATGTTTCTCTCTCTTTCTGTGTGTGTGCGTGTGTGTGTGTTTGTGTGTGGTGTTGTGCTATTAAAGGATGCAGAATATATATACTCCCCCTTCCAACAGGCTTATAATAAATTAAGCATTGTCAGTTGTTACCCTTGAAAGCTAATTTTTTTATTACATACTTTGTGGTACAGTGGCCTGTATATGGAGAAAGGGTAAATTCTCTTTGGCCTTGCATTTCTGAATAAAAGAGGAAACAAGATGACAACACAGAAAAAGGCAGAAAAAAATATTTGAGTATGTTCATTTATTTATTTTTAATTTATTGGAATATCTTGTCAAAGCACAAGAATATCCATCAAACCTAAGGTAATCAAAACAAGAGATTTTCAATTTTTTTTATTCCTGCAAATCATCTATGGGTGCTATAAAATGAAGATTTGGGTGCAGTGGGGGCTAAGAGGCTACGTTCTAATAAACTTAAAAGAGATGTTCCTATTATCGGCCATTGGACCAGAATCTAAGTAGCAAGTATCTAAACAAACATATTTTTATTTTGGATAAAATTCAGCTGGTGTAGAATCATGTCTAATTGTGTATGGAGTCATTAGGGAGCCTGTAATGTGAACTCCTTATTTCTCCTTTCTTCTATTGGCAACAATTGGAACAATAATGAAAATAATATTATTTATGAAATTTTAATAATCACACAAACTTTACAACAAGCACAATTTTATAAAAATATGAAACATTTAAGTTAGAGAAATAAAATTCTTGTAGTCTTTGTAGTCCTGGTATACTCTCCATTTTCAGTTTCTTTGAATAGTTTACCTTTGCAAACTCTCTGCAAAAGTGAGCCAGGGAGACAGCAGTAGGACAGGAAGACAGAAAGGCAGGAAATACTATCAGTCGGGGCTTCATAGGACATTTTAAGAACTTTGGCTTTTACTTTGAGTGAAATAGGGAAACACTGCAGGGTGTTAGAAGAGTGATATGATCTCATTTAAATTTTAGAAGAAACACTCTGGCTGATGCTGAGAACAAACCCTGAGAGAAGAGAAAGGCAGAAAGTGGAAACCTGTTAGGGGACTATATAATGTACAAAAGATGATGATTACTGCTGTTCTTTCTTTCCTCTTAAACCACATGCAATTCTTAAAAAAAAACAAAAACAAAATCTCATTCTTAACAGTGCTGGTCTATAACCACTTCCTGGATGTTTATAAGCTTCTGCTTCACATGGTTGCCATGTCACAGAAGTGGTACTCCATCCTTCTGGCTGGATGCTACATTTGGGCACTGTCTGTAACCTTACGCTCATTCTCTCATTGTATTGGTTATTGTGAGTCCAACAATTAACATATTTTTTATGAATGTTTTGTTTCCGTTTTAGACCCTGTTCACTTCATCCAGATAATTTTCTTTTTACTTTAGCTAACTTTAATAAATGAAGAATGCTCATAGTCATCACTTCCTAGCTTTCATTTTCATCACTATCCTATAGATACTTACTACCTGTGGGCATCACAGAGTACTCCCCACATCTGCCTTCCAGCTTACCCTCATCCTTTCTCTCTACATTGGGCCCAACTCCAAGAACTCATGGGCAATTGTTAAGTATGGTCTGTGTTTTATGCTGTGCTAATCCCCATGCTGAACTCATTGACTTATAGCTTGAGGTATGAAAATATGAAAGAGGCTGTGAGGAAGTTAATAGATAGGCTGCAAAATATTTTAGTACTCAATCTAATCTTAATGAATATATTTCTATGAAATTATGTGTCTATTCAAATGTCACCTTCTCAGAGAATCTTCCCTGAAAACCTAATCTAATGAGATAGTCACTTCTTAGCCCTTCAACCTAGTTTATGTTTTTTCATAGCAATAGATGATATTTTAAATACATGCAATAACTTATTTGTCTGTTATTTGCATATTCCAGTAGAACATAAAATCCAAGAGGACAGAAATTTCTTGTATTATTTTTGTATCTTATTTCTCTATTGCCTACAAGTGCCTAGAAACACATCAGGCCTTCAGTGAATACTTACTGGATGAATAAAAGAAGGAATGAAATAAGAAGTTCAGACTAAATTGACAATATTTAGTATTACACCCTGTTTACCGACGTAAGACCTTGGGTGATGAACCTTCAACGAATATGGCCCCCACTTGAGATTCTAAAGGCCAAAAGAACAGAAATAATATTATCAAAGTTGACCATGTTTGTTTATAGGAATGCTTCTACTGCAGATTCTTGTACTGTGGAAAATATGTCTTTGTCTAATTTTAAGTATTTAGTTTTAGTTGGATATTATATTACCACTTGACTATCCTACACTTGTCAGAACCACAAAAATGATGCCTTTATCATCAACAGTATCTCTCATAATTAGGTTTGAGCTTAATTTTTTTTAACTGGATAGGTTCAATTTAGACATCTTTCTCTTTCAGAGCTTAATTCAGATTACAGAAAAATTCAAGAGTTTATTCAGTATTACAGTTAATATGACAGGAAATTTTGGTTCATTTGGATTACCAGACTCAGAAACTCAAAAGTGTAGGGTTCTGTATATAATTGATAAGTAATAACCCCCGATTAGAATGATCCTGGTTCACAAAGATGAGAGAAATTTTTTATAGTTTGAATTAAGTGTCAAAATACTTCTGAATCATCCCATCTATTTCTGGCTAAGTTGCTTTTGGGCACTGGCCAAGTGATAATTCTTGCCTATAGGAAAGATAGAAATAATGTATCACTACCATTAATCTTAAAGTATAGCATCTCAAAAATGCTTAGGCTTCAGGAATAATCACGCATAATTCACTAGAAAAAGGATCTGAAACATGTAAATACTCTACAAAATATCAGTGGAATCTCTCTGTAAGCAAAATATACTTGCCTGCTATATTAATGTTTCTATTAAGAATTCTTATATAAGTTGGCTTCTCTTAAGACAAAATACACCTTTAGGGTATTATACTAATTGAAATAAGTCAGAGGGAGAAAGTCAAATACCGATGATCTCACTCATAAGTAGAAGATAAAAACGATGACAAACAAGCACATAGAGACAGAGACTCGATTTGTCGTTACCAGAGGAGAAGGCGAGAGGGAGGAGGTTATTAGGGTGATTAGGCACATGTGTGTGGTAATGGGTTTTAGTTAGTCTTTGGGTGGTAAACATCATGTAATCTACAGAGAAATTGAAATATATAACACTGTACACCTGAAATTTATACAATGTCATAAACTGGTGTTTGTTTATTTTTTAAAGATGGTACCTGAGCTAACATCTGTTGCCAATCTTATTCTTT